AAACAAACTAGACACTACCATCATCTGTTTTCAGCCTTGCTCACCTGACAAGGACTCTCCTTTCTTTGCAGACGAATCTGTGCCGTTGACATGGATAACGGTGCCTCCCAGTCTTTGCATGGCAGCAGCGAACGATGAGGACGTCCGAGTACTGACCTCGTAAAACATTGACGCCATTACACGACCCTACAACATACGAAGCACAATAAGCGAGATAAGAAAGCGGTCCATTACACGACCCTACAACATACGAAAGTATACAACAGCGATATAAGAAATCTGGCCCATCACAAGATCCTACTAAACACCGTTCGAGATAAATAGTCAACATACTACTCACCTTCAAGATGTTATTTCCACCTTCTCGCTGCACCATTTTACGCATCTCATGAGAAGTGTTGAAGATAACGTGCAACTGTAGGCAGAAAATGGTCACAATGTCTAAGAGGTTACCTAACTTATTCTCATAGAGATTTTACTCTCTAGATACACAATTCTATTCCTATGGGGAGGGGGGATAAGCAATAATTTAACCTATGGTTAGAAGACTGCAGGCTCACCTGTTCCTTGGAGAACTGGCTAGCACTAAGAATACTTCCGGCGATGACGTTATGAGGAATGCGCATTTGAACATGTGGAAGAAGAAACGGCACTGGTGCCTGGGATTTAGTGGGTGTCCTGGGGGTYGTGGAACCAACTGGGGTGACGTCTCCCGTGTGTGGAGTTCCCTCTATGTAAAGAAACAACATTAGTGGTGAAAAAGTYAAAATATCTCAGAGTTTATAGCAGATTAAACAACTATTCGACTAGTTTCTAGCGTGTGAATTCTCTCTTAATGTATTATGTCTCGTTCTTAAAAGAGTTACTTCTGAGAACGTTAARCAGAGGTGTTCGTCGCCGAACGGCGGTGATTACACAGAGTTTGACATAGATTCGTAGTCTTGCAAACCTTTACCTGCAGAAGCTGGAAGAGGCTCCACTCCAGTGGTACGGTGTACTGGTGGTGGGAACGCCCACCGGGTATCCTTCTTCCTTGGACTACCGGGTAATTGTGATACAGCGGGAGGTAATTGAGGACCGTACACCGGTACCACACCACCATGTCGGACATCTTCACCAAAGCCGGGTTGTGCTAAAACCTGACAAAAACAACAGGCATAAAAACCTTGATTTAAAGTATTACTCAGACAAAACAAAATAATCGCTACAAGTCACTTATACTAACCTTGCCGTCAATACAAGCGATTTGCCCTCTGAGTACAACACGTCGTACCATCCCGTACACTTTCATCCCAGCAAATGGYGTCCAACGTGATTTTGAGTATGTCATGGCCTTGGGGATAGTCCACTCGTTCCCAATCTCTACCTCAACATACGTGTCCTTCTGCTCTGGTAGACCGAAGATTCGACGAGGATTGTGATAAAGCTTGTTGACAAGGTCCTTATAAGAAAAAATAAGTTCGAATACGTCTATCAACAGCATGTTCATCAACTCAAGGTGTCAGGCACGAAGTTGCCTAGTCTCCTCGCAGCCGTTCTTAGTGGCGGGCTTCAGGGAGCCCGCCACTAAGAACGGCTGCGAGGAGACTAGAAGTTGCCGCATACACGACGAAACGTTTTGCACACTGCTAAAATGCCTCCATCAATACAATCATTTTTTATTTCAGTCGGAATCGGCTTAAAAGCGACCATCCTTGATCATAAATACCAGCAAACGGAATCAGAGGCGAACTTATRGTTCCGATTCCGACTAAGGCGAAACATAGGCTTTACATTTATGGATCGTTTCAACTAAATTCAGTTTGTTTTTCCATATTTATGGACCATGTTTAAACTAAAAAAGTCATGTAAATGCCATTCAAAGCGACTAATAAGGTCAAGGATACAATATAAATTATTGAAGCAGTGGTTGGTATCTAATCAAATTTTGCGTAGTTCATAACAATGTTGGATTTGTGATGGATCGCAAAGTGTTGAACAACATGATCGCATATTACCTCTATAGTCAGGCGTTCCTGGTGAACGGCCGTGAGAAGTAAAGGAAGCATGGTCTCTAGTCCTGGGAATCCTGGAGGGGCGTTTTCAGAGTTCTTTTCTTCGATTGTGTGAGGTGCTGAATAGATAACAGAAGGCACAGACGTTTCTACTATCTCTCAAGATAATGAACAACTACATGTAAGGGTTGTTGAATTGAACGGTTGCTTAAATCAGGTGTCAAATGCCATCAACCGCTGAACCTCATTATTGCTGTGGCAACTCTTGGGGTGACCTACGTAGCACGCAGTTGATGTAATGTATTCATAAAATGTATTGTATTCCATTGTTTCTCRTTCTATTGTATTATGTGTTTTGTATTATATCTTTATGAATATATTACATCAACTGAGTGCTACGTAGATTCTCCCGGCAACTCTTACCATGATCCGTAGCAAAGCAGTCAATGTACTCGAGATTTTCCCATAAGGCATTCTGATCTTCCTCAGTGACSACTGGGGGTTTGACTTTGATCCAGCTTTGACCAATCCTATCCACRTCCTTGTCAGTTAAGAACAGGTRATGCGGGGCTACTTCACACGTGACAGCCATCCCACGATCCTTTGCAGCTTTGATCACTAGAATCTGAATCATACAAATCCCTTTTTATTAAAATTAGCCTGAAAGCCTATTCTATTCTACTTGTCTTGTCCACTAAATAAAGCCAATGCATATGCAATAATAGATCCCTGTTAAATAATAGTTTAGAAAAGGGTTTTCACAGTCAGGATTTCTCACTCTGAAGTCAAYGTCTCGCRGCACAGATTTTATTTGGATATCAGCTGTTGGATAATATAGTTTTAMATAATAACTCCCAGGCAACCTTTCTCACCTCTTCTTTACGCGCTACATGAGCAATGTGAACAGGCCTTTGWGCAAGCTCAGCTAAYAGTAAGATAGCTGCTGTRGTCCTAGATTCAGCATGACAAACAAGTGGRAGGTGTTTAGGCCAGCTTTCCAAGTGCTAAAGACAAAATAAGAATAAACTTAAACTGGAGGAAGAGTATTAACATGAAAAACATCTAAAAAAAAAACACAAAAATCAACGAAAACGAAAAACATTACTCCAAAAATAGCGTAGTTTTTAGTTGTCTTGCTTCCTGTTACTATATATACTATTACCATAGCAACCACCAACCTCTTATGTTGCCATGGTTACTGTAACTATAATTACTAATTACCATAACTATAGTTACTGACACCACAATAACAGTTATATGCACTACTATATGCGTTATCATTATATCTTTTATCACCATAGTAACAATGACTATAGTTACCTTGCTCCAGGTTGTCAAGTCATTGAGTTGTAGTGTRGTGAAGGTTTCATTTAGATACATCTTTAGACCAGCGGCTTGGTGGGCTATGCTCTTGATGGCATCAAAGTTGTTTGGTCCAGCACCAAGATAGATTCCATAGTCACACCGTGCACCCTCTATGGCAAGCTGAAATATAAATCATAACTCTTCAAAAAACCATGGCAATTACACTTGTAAATCATGAAACAACTTAGAAACTAAATAAGAATAAATAGTGACAAAAGTAATCTTTAAAGCCACCATGTAGAAGCCCAGTTTCCAGACAATGTTATAATGACATRGTCAAATGGGAAGTGCTTCATTYGATGTYCCTTCCATAAAATGCCCTTTGACAACAAACACAATACCAAAGGGGGTAAGATAGGAAGGCTAATTGTTTAGTTATTGTCCAATTCAGTGTATTCTACCAGTAATACTCCAGTTTCGAATTCTCTTTTGCGCAAGTTAGATTCAATCAAGGATAAATTTTTATTGTCTTCTTTGTAAACAGAGCT